ATGATTCAACAGGAATATCATTGTAAAGTTCAAAATTAATACCAGTAGGATGTACACCAAATAATTCCCTATAGATATTAACATGAATTTCATTCTTTGTTTCTTTCGAAAACTGTTCTTACGAGAAAATCACTTCAAATGATCCCTTCCGATTTCAATAATTTTTTTCCCTTACAAATACTACAGAGTCATGCAGGATCTGTTGAGACTAGACCAAACCTAGGATTCTTCCCTATATGCTACTCTTTTCAAGTTATAACCATTACACTTAGGATTGTACTAAATGCAATTCTTAGATTTAACTCGATTTGACTAAAATTGCATTTGAGTTTGACTGTCTGTGGTACATCCCTAGATACATTGCCTTTGTTTACTTTTGCTATAGTATTAATAAAACAAACTAAACAAATAAATTTTTCGCTAAAATTTTGTCCATAAACAGATTTTGAAATCATTAGAATCTGTTAAAAAATTTCAGACGAAAAGAGTATTCTCTTTGCAACATATCAAATACACAATAAACCATGACGCTTCACCAAAAGGACAGAAAATCTACTTTTTTTTGCGAACTTGCTATCTCGAGAAGAGACCATTCTTTTTTTTGTCTGAAGTCTTTACATGATTCTAATGACTTCAAGAGTTGTCTATTAGCAAAGTTTTAGGCCAAAATTCTTTTGTTCAAATTCTTTTTTAATAAATATTGTGCCAAAAGTAAAAATGCAGTGTAATGATTATAACTTCCAAAGAGTAGTTTATGACGAATAATCTTTCTAAGTTTATTCTAATCTTAGTAGGCCCTACGTAATGACTGAGTCTCATCTCAAATGTATGGTGATAGCTCGGGTTGTTGTCTTGTAAGCTATTAAATTTTTATGTAGAACTGCAGATTTTTCGATTTTTATTTGAAACTTTGTATATGTAGAAAATTCAAGTAGACTAGCTTCTATAAAAAAGTTCACTAGTTTTGAACTAAGTTTCTTCGAGAAATGATACATTCAAAAGATGCATTTTATACATATTATCTATGAAAAAGAGTCTATATCTTCAAAGTTTCATATTTCACTGTGACTTTGTTCAAAATTTGTAAATTTTTTTATGAAAACTAATCTAGTTACTTTCTTTATAGGCATAAAGGTTCAGATCAAAATTCGAAAATACAAATTTTCCGAAAACATAAAGTCCTCTAGAGAGTTGGCATATTGAAAATTGCATAGTTTAGTCAAATGTCAATAGGAAAATAAACGTTTTTAGGATTTTTATTACAACACTATGTAATATCTGCAGGTAAAGAATCATTGAAATTGAAAGAGAACATCTGAAAAGGATTTTTTGTTAGTTAAATATTTACCTTTCAAGATTAGCATTTGGTGGTAATGGTATATTCCAATCATGACCGACTGCATCACTTGATTGACCGCCAACATGTGAATGATATGGTCTATGAGGCTCATAATCACGTCGACCATAATTATTATCACGTTGTCCACTGTAACTACCACCACTATTTTCACGACCATTTCGATTATTATAATTATTAGAAAAACCACTTCCTCCACGATTATTATTGTTACTATTACTAGTACTACAATTTGACATTTGTCGTTCAGCTAAAATAGCATCCCAACGACCACCTGATGATGGTTGTTGACCACTAGACACACTACCAGTGGAATTTTGACGATTAAGAGTCTGTGGAAGTTGTGATGCATCATTGAATCTATAATCGTGGGAAATTATAAGTGAAAAACGAAAACAAAAAGTAAAGAAACAAATTTACGATCGATTTTGTACTGGCATTTGATGTTGTGAAGGTTGACCATAATTTCGATTCTCAAGCGATTGTGATGTATTCATTGGACGTGATATTTGTCCTGGTTGTTGATAACTATTTGACATAGGTTGATGATACATTTGTTGTTGTTGAGGTGGCATTTGACCATAGAAGGAGTTTTGTGGAGGAGGATGAGAATTAAGAGAATTACCACCACTATAATTATTGCCATAATTTTGTTGTGAAGATGATGAACCAGTATTTGATGATCCTCGGTAACCACTAGACGTGTTACCATTATTAGCATAAGTGCCACTAAAACAAAAACAGAATGCTAAATATGATAAGAATATTTTAATCATTTACTTTTGCATATTCATTCGATTCTGTAAGTGAGGAGGTCGATAGACTTGTGTAGCAGGTTGTGATTGTTGTTGTTGTTGTTGTTGTTGTTGTTTAGGAACTCCTCCACGATTGTATCCACCGGCATAGTTATTATCATTACTACCGTGTTCATTAGTATTATTCTGATATTTTGAATTTTCATAGGTACCGCCGCGTACTTGTTGTTGCGACGATTTTGTATCTTGACTAGAAATTAAAATTTTGAAAATAATTTTAATCAAAAGAAAAAAAAAAAATTCTTTACTCATTGCTCATTGTATATTATTGTTTTCGTTGTTATTGATTTTTTTTAGGAAGGGGAGTTTTGATGTTAAAATTTTTCTTTCCTAGAACTAAAAGAAAATAATAATAATAATTTTATTGTTGAAAATTTTTATTTGAATTCAAACAAATATTATATCATTGTTCGAAAATAAAAAAATATATAAATCTAAGTGCAAACATATGATAATTGCCATTGGAAATCTGAAGGCTGAACAAGCTAACAATCCTTCTCCCATTCTCTTTTCTATTCTCATTTGTTTGTTTATTCTTTTTTTTTCCGTCTCTGTGTTTTTTGATCGTCTTATCATCTTTGTCATCTGCCAATGTAACATAAGGCACTAGGAAAAAGTAAAAATTGTGTAAAATGATTTGATTTTTATTAAAATATTAACCAATTATGAGTCGTTTATTCGATCCCTTCAAAAAATCTGATAAAAAAAGTGAAAGAAAAATGAAAGAAAATTTTTGATAGAGGACGCTACAAGTCGAACAATGAAATATTATTATTTTTACGATTTAGCTTTAATCACAAATTTCAAATCACTATAGTTCTAATGATAGTGATTATCTAATGAAAAAAATAAATCATTCAAATTCTTTTGAATTTCATCCAAAAGGTAATAGTAGTTTCGATTATCAACTTTTTTCAACCTTCATTTCACATTATTATTTTTCCATAAAGCTCAATTGCTTTTCTAGACCGATGGCAACCTCATCTTGACACTCTTTGATGTTGTCACACTCACTCTGTGTTGTTTTTCACTATCAAGCAAACTGATTAGTTAAAGGTATTTTTGATCTGCATAAGAACTCAAGTATAGTATATAAAGTAAACAATATATTATTGCAACATCAATCTCGAAATGTATTTTTGATACTTCACAAAACGAATGACACTCTGGCGTTCACACTCTTTGATATGTTCTGTTTATTAGACCAACTATTGTATGAGATCTCGCTGATCTGGAGAACCATGTTTTTAAATGGATATATAGGTTTTCTACAAATACACGTACTCCAGCCACTAATTGTTTTGATTCTACATTAATTTGTTTGGTTCTTAATAAGAAAGTGATGAATATAGATGAAGAGTTGTGTGGATCATGTAGAAGCACCCAGAAAGAGATATTGAAAAAGTTATTGATTAATAGTACTTTTTCTTTTATTGAAATGTTCTATTTGAATATGGACATCAATATTATTTGGTACTATTCCTAGGCAAAGAAATGTTTTGATTATAATGTTGATTGTACATTATTTTGCAAGTCGAATCCGACAACATCATGTCACAGATAAAATTCCATTTTATACTGTACTGTCGTGTGTAATAAAGTAATCAATTAGTTCATCGACGTCTAGATTCAAATGCTATAAAGATGAAAATTTACTACGATGATCAGTTGAAAGATTATATTAATGAATAACAATTGAATGACTCGGTTTTAATAGACAATGAAAACAGAAAAAAATTTCAATCTCATTAGATTAGTCAATACAAAATTAGAAATAATTCTTCATTAGGAACATATCAACTAGAAAATATCAAATGATATGTGAGATTAGATTTAGTACATCATGATATATTAAAACAAACATATATTAATTCTATATTCACACAGAAATGATATAAACTATCTCATCGAAACCATAAACATATAGTCTTATTTTAAGGGCGAGAGTGTGTTAGTTAATGAAGACGCCTTGTTAAACAAAAATAAGAGAGTGATTGCTATGATTGTGACAGTTTAGATTTTCTTCGTGCTGTTTTTAAAAAATATTAGATTATCAGTGAAAGTTAACGCTAGGATAGACTCAACAGTTTTTTTTTAATGAGATTCCCAACTGAAAGTTAAAAATGAGAGAATACAAGTCTTTATATGCTCAGAAGAAAACATGCGAATTTCAAAAGACGATTTTCTAATCTGAATTACAGAGAAAAATAAGTTTAATGACGAAGCAAGATGAAAGAAAAATTTAAATAGATTCTAGTTAATCTGACTTAGATTTTCCCTACAGTTCTTTTTTATTTATAATGAAAGATCTCTACTTCAAATCATTGCCAATCTATGATCCAATATTTACTTATACAACATTACTTCTCCTCAAAAATGTTTTTCAAGTCTGTTTGATTCAGACGGTATTATAATCAACCGGCGAATATTTTGACGTTTGTAAAAGAATTGTAATATACTGTTCAAATCGATCAATTTGATGGAACAAGAAGCAAGTGTTTCAGCCTAAGAAGTATGAATCTAGGTGAGGCTTGTACCTATCCAAAGCCTTGTAGTTGTGACACTGATAATACTATTTATTGTATTTATTTTAAAATATTATTCATTCATTGCCAGTAAATTATCGACTGGTTACAAAAATAAAGCAGAAAAAAAGATGAAAATAAAAAAAAAAAAAAGAATAAGATAAATGGATATTTTAGACATAGTTGCACAAGACAACGATTAATATAGATCTGTATAAAATAGAATGTATTCAAACTAATATAAAACTAAAAGCAATTGATTAAATATTATTTGCACATACTGTTTTTTATTTTTTTGTTCATTCATTTATCATTTTCAAGTAAAGGACTTTTTTCACTATCATTCTTAACGATTTTATGTTCATTTTCTTTATCAAATAATAATGTATTTGTTACAGAATTCGGAGATGAAGAGGATGTAACTGTATCTGTTTCATTTTTTGTTATTTTTTGAGATTCTAATGGAGAATTTACTGAAAATATATCTTTAATATGATTAGTTGTTCTTGTTGTTGTTTCAATAACATCAAATGTACTTTCATTTGAAGTTATACTAGATAGACTCGATGGAATAAGAAATGTGACATTTTTTGGTACTGAAGCAATTGATACTTTATTATTATCATCAGCAGAGTCTTCCTTAATAGAATTCATTGTTTTATTTGGTGATGTATTAGAAAATAATTGATTAAGTGCAGTACCCAGTACACCATTATCATAATAGAATTCATATTCATTAGAAGAATCATTGTTTGATCGATTTTGATGGTTATTATTATTAGTTGATGATGTATATTGTGACTGTCGATGAAATCGAGAACGTCTAAAAAAAAAGATAGCAAATAGAAATTCTTTTCAATTTATATCATAAATCTTACTGTTCTTCAAATCGTTTTGTTTGTATCCAATTTCTAAAAAGTACCCAATCACCAAATGTCATAGAAAGAATCTTAATGAAAAATAGTTCAATTATATAAATATAATTTTTGTTTAATATTTATACTTGTTTAAGTTCATCAAGATTACATTCTAATAAAACTCGACCACTAATATTATTTTCATTTATATCTTGAATATAGATTGGTATCATTGTAGGTTTTAAACCTATAACATCATTCTTTAAACAATCACAAATATCATTAACTGTCATCTGACTTAGTGGTGGTGATAAATCCAACTAATTTAATTAAAACAAAGAAAAATTCTAGAATATAAATTTTGTTCAACGAAAAAAAAAAAGGCATACTTTGACATTATTTGATAAAATTTGTTCTTGTTGTTGTTGTTCGATTATTGGCTGTGTATTAGTTACTAAGGATGATGAAATAGATGATGTTCGAATATGACTATCATCAGCATCATCACGTTTTTTCATTGGTATTTGTATATTTGGACGATATAGACCTCCTACATAGAAAAACGCTTGTTATTATAGCCCCTTTGGAGCTAACATGTGCAATTAACATATGTTTATTAGCCTCATTATATCAATATAAAATACATAAAGTGAAAAATTTCTCGCAGACTATAGTCTTTTTCATATTTCGTTGTTCTTAATTTTACATTATTAACGGATGTTTGGAAAATTTGTAGATAAAATGCTTGTTCACTTTTGACTTACTTGAATATATTTCTTAAGAGTCGACAACTATGAATAAGGATACTCTTTTGGACTATGGGTCTAGAAATTTTGTGTTTATTTTGCTCAAGACTAGTAAGAGATGTTTTTGAAAGATCTGAAAAATTATTTTTAATGATGACCCAATAGGTTTTTTAGTTCTCCTTTAAGTCTTTTTTCGAGCATGACAAACATTATTGGAGTCGATCGTTTTGTAGAATGAACACTTCTCTACAAAATGTAATATTGAACTAAGCTGTAGCTTTTATTCAAGTAAGACTACAGGTATTTTCTTGAAGAGTTCCTTTTAACGTAAAACGATTGTCGATTTTTCAAAAACGAGTATTTAGAGAAAATGAATATAGGAATGTATTGTTGAAAAACCAAAAAAAAAGTGCATTTTGAATAGTAGTTTCTGATCTACAAGCTGATATATAAATAAAGATTTTAACTTTTAATGTCAAATCAAAACAATGAAAAAAAAAGGTCTTTCTGTTGAAACTAGTTTTTTGGACGTTTCAAAGATTATTTCAATACTCTGGCACAAAATTTTTCAAATACTATTCAAAAAGAGCATACTTTCTAGAGATTCTCAACTGAACTAACATCTTTTCTAAAAGCTCTTCGATCACGCATTATTAATGTAACTAGTGATTTAACTAGCAAAAAAAGCCTATTGTCCATATATATTGTATTTAGATCAGATTTCAACGCACTATTATATATCTGAATAAGTTTATAAACACTGATATTGATTATTTTCCAAAGTTATAGCTTGATCAGTTCATGTTTTATATGTTAATCATATGATAATTGTAGCAAATCAAGGCATTCCCTAACAATCATCTTGGACATCTTGAATATAAATGTTTATTTGCACAAGAATCAAAAATTGCACTATTGTCAAATATCGAAAAAGGATGCCAACCGTTGGAATTTCGAGGAAAGCGTTAGAATGTCTAAGTCTTGTCATTAATGCCGTTCAGCGCCTTTTTTCATTGCTAAAGAAATCTGAAAAAGGAGGCCGACGCCTGTTCTCCTCAATTACTATGAAAATATAATTAATGATCAATCTGGTTAGTTACTAAGACCTGTGATAGAGAGATGAAAAGCCGCAAAACTTTGACCTAAACCTTGTACTTACTATTTTCTTCAAAACTATGTGAGTTTCAAAAAAAACGAATTCATAAACAAAATTTTATCAATGATTTCCAATTACCTATATAGTCCACTCTTGGAAGACTGAATCTTGGATAAAATCCGCCTTGGTATCGTAAAGGTGGTGCTTGTTGAAAAAAGTCATTATGTCCAGAATACCTAGAAAATAGATTAGTAAGACATATTCAAAAAGAAAAATGAAGTTTAAAAAATTGAGTAAAAAGAAAGCATTGTTCATGCAATGCTGAATATAGTGCTAAAATTTAATAATATTACCATTTACAAAAATGACAGTAACAAAAATTTCTGAGCAAAATAATCAAATAATAATCTAATATTAAACATTTCTTTTTTTTTGTTTTTTTATTTGTCTCATTACTTACTGAGTAGAATCACGAGGAGAAAAAAAACGCGATGGATCACCATGAACAAAACCATTTTCATCTATATTATTCATGTAAAAATAGGCTGCAGATTCTATATCATGAATAAAACTTTATACAAAAATATCTCATTTTAATATGAATGACTATACCTCGAATTAATTTATTCAAATATGGATCAAGATTACATGTACATGGTAGGAACTGTTTTAAATCAGTCACATTTAAAACAGGTTCACTTTTTTCTATACAAAGTTCAAATTTGCGTCCACTACGATCAAGTTCTAAAAGAGGATCATTCGTTATAGGAATAAATGGTTTGATTCTAAAGAGAAAAAGAAAACGAACATTAATGAGAATAAATTTATGCAACAAAAAAGATATTTAAAACGAACTTATTATAGAGAGTTTTCAGTTCAGTATCTTCTGCATAATCTTGTTCATGATCTTCATAATATATAACAATCCAAGAAATACGATATGGCCATTGTTCTACTAAATATGACCAACATCCAAGACGTTTCCAACTGAATAATACTTGATTAGCACGTAAGAGTCGACCCGTCATAGCAATTATATTTATAAGACGTTGAAGAATTCGTGGATTTATATCAAGAAAATAATCTGATTGAAGTAATTGATAAGTCAATTCTGATGTTGATACCTAAAAAATAAACAAGGGACAAATAGTATGAATACAATATTAATGCTAGTGAATATATTGTACTGGTTTAGTATTCGGTAATGTATCTCGTCGTTGTCGACGTCGTTTTTTTTTTGAAAGTTTCTTGATTGTTGTTGGTTTTACAGTTACATCAAGGGCGGATGTACCATTGGCGAGAGTCTAAAAGAAAGTCTTTTTTTCCTGATTATATCCAAGATAGAGTAATTCTGCACATAGAGATGTAAGCCGATGCATAGATCAAGGATAACAGCGAAAATTTTTAAAATTTTCTTAATTTCAAAAGATTTTGAAATGAAGAACAGAGAAAACAATGACAAAGAACATATTGACAAGAAACTAAATAATAATATCTCCAAAACTTAGTTAAGGAGATTAGAAATTTTTTAAAATCCTATATCTATTTTTGTGTCATGTCGACAAACAAAGGCCCGTACGGTCCAAAATTTGTGGATTGAAACCCGATCAAATCGTACTTAGATATTCTCAATGACATTTTCTAATCAAAATCAGATAGCTGTCTCCAAGATATTGTTTTCTAGTTCTTTGCATTCGACGACTAATGCACCCTACATCAGAGATGGAACAGGTCTAGTTTTTTTCAGACCGGTACTGGTACCGATCCAAAACAATAAGACCGGACCGGTTCGTCGACCGAAACAGATTTACCAAAAAAAGTTGATCTGATCGGTCTACCGGGCAAAACTAGTCTACCGGTACTAAAACAGGATGCTGATGATACGTCAGTTTATAAAAGAAAAACCGACCTACCGACAAAATATCGTTCTATAGACAACAGGCTAAGGCTTGAAATGAAGCCTTGTTTCATAGTGAACTCTCTTGAGGGCTACCTTCGTGCTTTCACGCACACTGACACAATGTTTTCCCGTTGGTAACAATAGTCTCACTGATGGGTATTTTGAAAATTTTCTTTTAAATAAACTCCTATGTGATTAGTAGAACTTGTCTTGGTGCCAGTCGTTTTTTCATATGATTACCATCATAGAACGGGAAAGTGATAAATATAGGCCGGTTTAGACAGGTTTGGACCGGATCGGCCGGTTCCCGGTACCGGTTCCATCTCTGCCCTACATATTTCTCAAAAGGTAAGAATTCATTTGGCTTGAAGACCAACCCGATGTTTTCTAGCGACGGCCGTTCGATTGATCGGCTTACAGTTCTATATGCTCGTCTCTAATCTATAAGAAGAAAAACAAACGTTTCACTAACTGTTAGTCTTCTTTTTGGAAAGCTATCAGCATTTTTTTTCAATTGTTTTGTTTTACTTAAATTTAATTGTAAATAGATTGGAAGTTGAATAATCGATAATAAATAATCATGAATATTAACACCAAAATCAAAATTTGAATGTTGATTTGTTGATGGTGATATTGCCGTTATTGGTTTCGTATCTTGAATAATTTTATGTGGATCACAGATAATTAATGTAATAAATGGATCATTTTCTTTGGTCAAGAGTACATGTACTTGCTAGAATAATAATGAAAAAAAAAATAATAATAATATTGATTCATATTTCATTTACATCAAGTATTTGAAGGATACGTTGCTGTTCACAAACATCCAAACCATCAATAAGAACAACAAGACGAGTATTAATACTTAAAAAAGCTTCAACCGTTTTGATAATGTATGACAATCGGCTAACCTGTTTGTGAAAACTAATATTTCTTTTATAAGATTTATTAAAAATGGCATACTTCTTTTCTAAGTCGATAAAGAGAACTTTCGTTCAGACGTGAAGAATGATCTGAAAATTTTAGAATTTTTGATTTAGGTGACTTCAGCAATACTGTTAATATTCGAAGCCATGTAGCGAAACTGAATACAATTGAAATAGCTAATATACTTGTAAGTAGAATATAAATTATATTGATCGAATGATGATTTGATGGAATACCTAGAGTAATTCAAAACATAATTCAGCTACTACATATAATAAAATTTAACCTTTTACTAATATTAAAATGCTTAGAACTAAAGCAAGTAAAATTTGAATAGCAACAAAAATAAATGCTGGTATACAACATAGATATCGAAATCGATGATGATGGCTTGAATCTAATTAATCAACAAACATAATTATCAAATTGAATATTTTTATTTTCAAAGCAAACTTTTGGAATGAAGTGCACGACAAAGACGTGTTGCAACAAGTCCAAATGTTTCTTCGACATTAGTTGCAAGTTCAGCAATCATATTTGCACTAGCTTTTTCACCATCAGCAGTTGAAACTTTTCCATATTCAGTAAAAATAAATCTAAATATTTAAATAAGTTATATTCGATTAGAATAGAATGAATTTTAAAATTTACTTCATCTTTTTACAATCAATTGTATCATTTGTTTTTAATCGATGACATGAATAAGGATTAATGAAAATAACTTGAAGCAGAAATCGTAACATTTCTAAACGTTTATTTATAAATTGTGTTATATTAGCTGTCCATCCATAATCTTTGTTACGAAGAAGATATTTAATTAAACAAAGAAATGCTAGTGGAAGAACAATTAAAATTACACCGATTGTTATACCAACAATATAATGAATTAAAAAACCAGTGACAAGACCAACAATTGATGCTATGATGAAAATAATTGAGAGAAGTAACGGTGAAAATTTGATACTGGGAAAATCTAAAACAAACAGCTCATATCAATATGAAAAAATAATGTACAGAATTTTCCAAAAGAATGTGAATAATTCGTGAAAAATTTAAGTCATACACCGAAGTTTTATAATATTTTACTCGACTTTCTTTAAAGTTTTATTTTGCATAATTTGCAGTCACTGTTCAAAATGCTCACATTGAAATGAAACATTAGATCGAGTTTCCATTACAACTATTGTACTGATTCATCTTGTTAACATTACTTAATCTTTAATAAGCATCTTACAGACATTATTTCTCATGTTCGAGAGATACTAAATCCAATGAGTATAAAACTCGTCGAAAACAACTACGTTTTTGAATTTTCCTTGCTGAATTCTGTCATAATTTTGAATGCTATTGAAAAAACATTTCAAATACCTAGAACACTTCCTGTCAATATTAGAGATATGTGGGACTAAGTTTTTATCGCGGTAACTTATTTATATGTCAATTTCGATTAATCTAGCGTAGCACTGGTCCTAATCGGGGTCCAGCAACTTATTTTCTATTGGTACTGGCTCTCGTAAAGTCTTCTTTTTTCGTACGGGTCCTATTCTTCTGTCATTAATGTAGAACGTTGAGAATGCGTCTGGTGTCGTCAAGTATCAGTTTCAAAAAAACGTTTAGACATCTCTGTATTACCATATTAATGTATTATTTCTGTTTTAGATGCGACAGGTATTGTTCGTTTTAAAGCTGTTAGTTACTGAAATTCAATCATCAATGAAACAGTTTCAAGGCTAGTTTTAGTAGATATCGACATTTTCTCAGAGCAATGTTGAAAAAAATGAACGGAATATCGAATCAGGTTATAGAAAATTCATTCTAATCGCTTGAACCATTTAAGAACTATTCACATTTGTTTATTCCGGCTGATTACTGGAACACTATTACGTAGAGAACATACCTGTTAATTGTGCAAAGCTGTACATTTCGTCTAAAATGCATTACAAATCAAAATAGATTTATGAATTTTGACAAGATAAAATTTACCTTTCAGATGGGTTAACAAAGCCGATTTTCCACTACCCCATTTTGCATATAAACCCTTACAGATGAATAAAAGAATATTGAAAAAAAAAAGATCTAGAAGAATGTCTTACTTACCACCGTAATCGGAGTTCGAAGTGATGGTTCACTTAAAATTTCGGCTAATGCTGATGAATATAAATCATAACCAAGAATTGAATCATCGTTCAAATTTAATGTTCCTATTCAAAGAATAAAACAAAATCAAATTCTTAAATCAACAAGTTTCTACATTCAAATATACATACGTTGTCCAAAAATAGTTGTAAGAATACTCTTTTGAAGATTAGCATCTATTTTATAAGGTGTTTCACCACGTTTATTAGGTCGATACAAATATTTTGAATATCTTGGATTAGAAAGTAGAATATCAGCAATATCTCTACTATGATTACGCAAAGCAATATGTAAACTATTATCACCAAACTAAAGTATAATTATTATATAAATTCGAAAAATAGAATCTTAATATTATCAAACCTGATCAACTGATGATAATCTAGCTCCATATTTAATAAGTTCATAAACAATAGCAACACGTTTTCGTTTCGTAGCTAATAATAATGGTGTATCATCATCAGGACCACCTGCTACTTCAACATCAGGATTATATTGAAGTAAATATTTGACTACATTCAATCGACCTCGTTCTACAGCCCACCAAATTGCTGTCTTATTTTCCTGTTTGTTTTTATTATTGGAAAATAAAAAGCCAACGCTAAATGATGAATTTGTCTTTTCTTGTAAATTAAACTTACAGCACCAATTGCATTTATATCAGCATGATTTTCAAGTAGAATAGCAACACAATCTTCTTTTCCACCTTTAACAGCAGAAAAAAGAACTGGATTACCATTCTATATATAAATAATCATTGAAAGTTTGACGCATTAAGCAAAACAAAAAAAAGAATATCAATTGTGAATTTTACTTTATCGACTGTATTAACATATGCATGGCGTTGAACAAGTTCAACAACAACATCAGTAAGACCTTGAGCACACGCATGACTTAATGGTGTTTCTCCATCCTAATATAATTATTTAGAATAGATTTTTGAAAAAAAAAAAAAATTTCTGTATAACTTCACTTTATCTTGTATTTTGATATCAATTGTTCGATTTTCAAGAAGACGAAGAGCTGTTTCTGCATGACCACCTTTTGTAGCAGCTAGAAGAGCTGTCATATTTTTCATTCCAATATTATTAATATTAGCATCATGTTTTAATAATAAGTCGACTATTCTTGTATAACCTGAGTATGAAAAAATCGACAATCATATTATAAAGAAAATTGATAATAAACTTGATCGAATAATTTTAGAAGTAACCGTATATATACATACCACGTCGACTGGCCCAAATTAATGGACTTGTATTATTCTTATCATATAAATTAGGTGAAGCACCAGCTGCAAGTAATAATGCTACAATATCAACATGATTTCGTCCTGATGCCCAACTTAAACTGGATATACCATGTTCATCCTGAGCATTAACATTCGTACCACAACTTAATAAATATTCAACAACTCTTGTATGTCCTTGATAGGATGCCCACATCAGTGGAGTAAATTGTCCCTAATTTAAGCAAAGAAAAATCAATTTTATGTTTTTATTAAGATAAATCTTACGCAATCACAATGTTCAATATGTGCACCATTCTCAGTAAGAAAACATACGATATCTAAATTTCCATTTTGACATGCGTTTAGTAATGCTGTCCAATGATCCTAAGCAAGAAAAAAAAAGATCAATCGATTAATATTTCATAACAATAATATTGATTATTGAAAAAAAAACATAAACTGCAAATAATTATTTTTTATTAAATGATGATTATTCATTGATTTTTATATTTTACATACCACATCTTCAGCATTAATATCGGCATGAGCTTCAATGAGAACTTTTACACATTCAAAATGATTACATCGAGCAGCTAAAATAAGTGCTGTTTGTTGATCCTAAAAATCCCGAGAGAAAAAAAAAAAATCTCATTTTAATGAACTTTTATTTTGTTCTTATCTTACTTCATCACGTGTTTCTAAATCAATACCATTTTGAATATTTCTTTTAACTCCATCTAAATCTCCATTTTCAACATCAAGTAAAAACTGTAGAAAAACATTAGCCATTCAATTCTATCTGAAATACAATTTTATTTGACATTTTTTTCTAATATCCCAAACAGTATAGCTAGTAAAATACATTATTCCCCATCAATAAACAAAAAAAAATATCTTATGAAACAAAGCTTCGATTAAGAATTTCTTATAGTCTCTTTTAACATGCAACCTTTTTCTTTTTTATCTCATGATGGTTGGTACTCAGTTTTCTCGGCATTTTTCTTACTTCTGATACTCTATACATCAACAAAATATACATAACCTTCATTATGAATGTTTTACATGTAAAAAAAAAATCTTGTTGATTATTAGACACGTAGATGTATTAACACAGACAATAACTCAGAGAGATGCAATACTACACCCATATTGTATTTATAGAAATAATATCCAGATTTTCTATAAGAAAAAAACAACTTGAATATTTACAAGTCTATGCATAATGCAACCAAAGTTTTATGAAGATTTTCTCTTCCAGAGGAGCGATTTGAAATTACGTGAGGGCCAATTTAATATTCGAAAGAGTCTTACTCTCCTCGAACCGACATGCTGTATAAAACATTGAGTGCATTATAAAAGTAAACGATATGTTTTAAAAAATATATATATATCGAAATTAGAACCGCTCTTCAAATTAGATTAAGAATATTGTTCATCATTATAAAACAAAGCATTTCTAAGTAAGAAGTAAAAAAAAAACAATCATATTGACGAAGACTTTCATTGATATACATGTTTCTCGTGAAGCACTAACAGTAGTAAATGATAAGAGAGTTTGACAAAAACTGCTGGAAAACATCGTCAGATCATTTATAAAATTGTTCTTATTTCAACTCTTAGATACTGTTATTAAACTAATACGAGTTATCAATGATGAAAAATATACATTATTGTTTATCATTATATTTTTATTATTCGTTAAGTGTAGTTTTCAATTGAACATACTAAACGTGACTATATTTTTATAATGCACGAGAACATATAGAAAAAACGGATGGTCAAGCACACAATTTTATTATCGCATGAGAAAGCACTTACAATATAATTGATGATTCCTCTTGACTGCACTAAAAAGAATGATGAGTAAAAAATTTATTCACATTTTTTATCTAATGGTTAAGATATAACTTCTACATTTTTACAATTTCTACTCGTATCATTTTATACAGTATTTCTGATATCATATCCATAGAATCAAACACAATAATAAATGAAAAATAAAATATGGTTTTACAGAATGTGGTTCTTTTAGAGCAACCTTGGAACAGACTTGTCAAACAAAGAAAGTTAAAATTCAACATATTATTGGCTATCTGCATTGTACCAGTTATAGAAACAACTTTGACAGAGGGCACCAGTTGATATAGCTTTCTATATGAGAATATAGTAGATAGCTGAATCGCAATATTTGATTTGATTTGAGACCATTAATCACAAGATAATAACTTCAAAGTTATACATACAGATACTTGAAAAAAATATCTGGACACTTCAATGTTTTTTTTCATATTTCTCGTCTTGCAAAGCAGAAACAAGAGATGAAGTTTTTCTTTTTTCGTCAGTAGATAGTCCTTACTTCAAACTAGTAGACTCTCTATCATAATCAGCAATTTTGACTATCATTTCGAATTACAAGAACATTTCTCATGAAAATGTTTGACTTTCTAATATGTTAGATGCTCACTTTTTTTGATTTCAGAATTATATTATTTGCACACCGCTAGACTGAGCAAAGCGAGCTCTGTCTGTCTGCATAATATTTCAATGAACGAAAATAATTTTCACAATGTAAACTATTTCAAAAGAAATGAGATTTTTGAATATCCTTAATATCACAGTGCGAGTAACAGATCACAATGATTTTCTTTTATCAGAATTAATCTCCCAATATAGCTCTAGTATGCCTGTCAAACGCTCTACAAAATTACGTGTTTTAAAAGATTTTTACTGCTAAAATTCAAAGTCAGGAGAGGCGTATCGTATTTGAATATTGATGTTTATATGCAATCCTTGAAAGAATACACAAGTACCTTCACAAAAAATGACAGTGCAACGCAAATATTTTGCAGAGAATATCATAGAGAGCAAAATTCTCTACAAACTGATATATGTATGAATAGTGTTTCTTTCCGTTGTGAAGTTTTATTACGATTTTGCTTGATGATTTGGAGAAGTCGACTAGAATAATTATCAACTAGTTTCTTACATTCGTGTTTTTGAATAGTTGTCCATTTACTGTTTACTAAATTCCACAGTTTATCAAAATTCTTTGGATTATTATTTGATCTCTTATTTCATAACAACGCTCAGAGATAATCCATGGAATATAAATCAAGAGATTGTGCGACGTAATTTTGTATCTGTATGCCAGCATTTTCGAGCCTTTCCTCAACAACTTGTACGTAGTAGCTGGGTTCATTTATTGCCCATGTGATGAAAACCGGGCAAAAACCGGCGGTTAACCGCGGTTGTACCGGTCCGGTTACCGGCTTCTTGACATAGAAAAACCGCGGTTAATCGGAGAGAACCGCGGTTTTTTTCCGGTTTACCGCGGTTAACCGATTTTTTAATGGTGAACCGTGGTTTACCGCTAAGACTGATCCGGCTTTTGTGACATGGATGATATAGAGAACCTCTTAGTTCGAAAGAAGGACTCTCTACTAGTAAAAAAAGAAAATTTTTTTTTCTTGTTTCTGCTTCGCAAATCAAAGAATGCGAAAATATATGGGGATGTCTGAATACTTTTTCAGGATCTCTGTAGTTATCTGTTTAGTTGAAATACAATCAATGTTCCATGAAACTCATAATTGAAAATAAAATAATCCTATTAACTATTTTATTAATCGTAATAAAGTATTTTATATATTGAGCTTAACATTTAAAAACTACGAAAAATGATAATTGAAAAACAATATAAAAGACAACTAAAGACTTGTTTTCATAGAATTTCTAATTGATCTAATGTAGAGTTCATGATTTTCCAGCAATAGATTCAGTAACAAGATTTAATAACACTTCAACTTTAAGTTTTAACAAATTGTTTTCTTCTTGTAATAGGTCAATTTGTTTTCGAATCTTTTGTGTACTACTACTTGAAATTATTTCACCAAGACTTTCAACATCAGCTAATCAAAAGAATTTTTTTATTCATTATTAGAAGAATAATAATAAATCATCATACCTGTATTCCAATCATCATTTTTAATATCAAAAACAATTTTTTTATCAGCTAATTTTACATCAATTACTTCACATTTTGAACTCAAATCACGATACAATTCATCAGCAGGTAACTTCAATGAACTTCTTGAAACTTGTTTTCGTGGTTTTACTTTCTTAGATGAAAAAGCATTTTTAAAAAATGACATCGTGTCAATAGAATCTCTTAAGTTTTTAATATAATTTATTCACTATTGAACAGATTGTTGCTATTGTACTCAAATGGCGCAATCGTTCGATAATATGAACTTTTATTTGTTCATTCATACACCAATAGAAATTTTATATGTAAATAAATCGACAATGACAATAATTAACGATCCGCTATTTTTAATAATCGAAAGCGGAGAACTTTCGGCGTCTTTTTTCTCTACTCCTATACAAGACAAACTTATTTTTCAAACCCATTATCTTCGCATACAATGCATGTCACTACTGTTCCAATTCAAAAGAATTTCGATAGTACTATAGATTTGAATTTCCAGTATTTGATTACATCGAAACAAAACATCGTTTTCATTCCTTTTTGCATAAAGACAATTGATTTTTAAAATAAACATATCATTATCTAATATGAAACAAAAAGATGTACAAAATTCTTCTCTTTCGATTGCTAAAAACCATACATCGAGTGTTATTGCCATTGCCGGATCATTGATATTCTACTTATTCCTCTTTAATTTCGATGCAAACATTCATTCAAAAAGAAAAACCTAATTTCTTTATTAAACCTATATTATTTATGAATATATTCTATTCATATAGATAAAAAAAAAAACATTTTCATATTACTTCAAATTTAGTTGTTCACATCAAGCATCTATTTATTGTAACAGAAATCAATATATAATTTTAGAAGTTGATAATAATTTCATTTGTAGTTTTTTTTTAATGGAAGAATTAGCTAACTAAATCAGAATACATGAATAATGCACTTCGATGTTCGGCATTGATACAAACTATCAATTATAATTCAATAGGCAAAGAATTTTTAAAAAACACTTGACAGTTTTGATAGAATCAAACATGTCCTATGATGAACTTGCAAGGGAAATCTTTCAACTGCTCAGTCGCTTTTGTGTCGAGATTCAATGCATTATGTAGAACGACATGAACTATTAATATTTTGAAAACACTTCAAACGCTTAGCTTAATGCTATCGAAATATTGCATTTTAACGATATTTTTTAAATAAATATCTTGGTCCTTCTAAAACTGAAATTCAACTAAAAAATTTGTAGAGAGACAGATTTTAATGAAAATAATCTATGATAAAAGTTTCAGATCTTGTCATTATTTCTATCCAAAGATACAGCTATAGTTATATCGTGTCTTTTGCATCATTCATACAAATCAATAAATTTGACGTTCTTATTTCAGAATAGAATCAATTAAAGAAATTCTAACACTGCTCTCGTTACAAACTATTTCCATACAGAGTTTCAAGTCAAAATTAGAAAATCAGTTTTTCTATTATCATAGCATTTACTTTCAAAGTATCGCACTAGAAAAGCACTTCTATCTTTAGAAAATATTAGTTAAAATATACCTCTACATTCATAGTAGAACACCTGCTATAAGGATACTAGTACTCTCATATATATAACAAAGCATTTAGTTAACTATTAAACGAACACACAATATTAACGGCTTGACAATACGTTTATAGATCGATGTGATATCACTGCGATTTTTCTCATGAAATTTAGTAAATAAAATTTTTTTTTTGTCTTCCTTTACGCTGGTCTACACATAAACTGCTTTTGTATAAAGACGAAATTCCATGCCAATAAATACCCAATATATAAAATGTATCTTTTCAATTCAATCAATTTTTATAAAAAGAAATAAATATTATTAAATGTTTTTATGTTTCAATAGAATATTTTCTAGCTAAAATTCATCATCATCATTATTCGTTATTTATTTTCGTTGCTAAGTGATTTTAAATGATCATTTCTTCTTTGTACATTAGTGTTCATGTCAAATGCATTACTACTTTAATTTTCTTTGTCTATGAGCGACAATCGAATAAAATTTAAAATAAGTCGTTATATAGTAAAATCTTTCTTGCAATATATAATTTGAAAAAAAAAATATTGAAATTTAGTTTTTTTCTGACAAAGAAAAAATTTCAATTTGTATTTGACCTCTCTATTGATGTAAACTAGCCGGTCTATATTTTAACAGAGACATATAGCATACTAATCCGCCATCTTGCTCAAACGCTTGCCTGACTCTCGAAAAGTGTATCGCCGTACATTTATATTATCTGATTGTTTTTTTTTTACACAAATATTAATTAACTGTTTTGTTCTTGTATTCTCTGCACTTTAGATTATGTCACCAATCACACAAAATGTCTAAGGACAAGTACGTCAATGATCTTTTTAACTCATTATCGGAAGAAAAAAAACAATTAGGAGACAATCGATAGTAAATTATTATCTGTAATCTTTTTTTTTGTAGGAATGACACCAACCAGAACTCGAGCACAGGTGTTCCATCGATGGAACCTGGTAAGTAGAGATAAAAAAAAAAATGATTATCAAAATTGAACTAAATATTTAGATGGAACAATCGAGAGCAATTGGACTGAAGTGGTCGAACAATTCGATCAGATGAACTTACGTGAACCACTTTTACGTGGTATTTATGGTTATGGTTTCGAACGACCTTCTGCTATTCAACAACGTGCTATTAAACCTTGTATTTTGGGTTAGTTTTATAATTAAGTCAATATTTTATTATTTTAATTGATATTCTTTATTATTTTAGGTCATGATGTCATTGCCCAAGCACAATCGGGTACAGGCAAAACGGCAACATTTGCAATTTCAATATTACAACAACTTGATCCGGATTTCAAAGATTGTCAAGCCTTAATTTTAGCACCCACTCGAGAATTGGCTCAACAAGTATATTTATGATTATTAACTGTATTTTAATCATTTTTCCTTTTTTTATTATTTAGATTCAAAAAGTAGTCTTAGCCCTCGGTGATTACATGGGTGTAACATGTCACGCTTGTATCGGTGGTACAAATGTTCGTGATGATATAAAACGGCTTGAAACAGGCGTTCAAATTGTTGTGGGTACACCAGGACGTGTTTATGATATGCTTAATCGATCAGCTCTTCGTATGTATTCAAATGTTTTGTTAATATTTATATATATATTCTCATAAATATTATAATTAGGTAGCAAAAGTATCAAAATGTTCGTATTAGATGAAGCTGATGAAATGTTATCACGTGGTTTTAAAGAACAAATTTATGATGTATTCACAACTATGCCACAAAATATTCAGGTTATTCTTCTATCAGCTACAATGCCTGGTGATGTACTTGAAGTAACAACTAAGTTTATGAATGATCCAATTAAAATTCTTGTTAAAAAAGAAGAATTAACACTTGAAGGTATTCGACAATTTTATGTTACTGTTGAACGTGAGGTAAGAAAATAGAATAATATCTATTTATATTTCATTTTTTTTTTAAATCTAGGAATGGAAATTAGATACGCTTTGTGATTTATATGAAACATTAACAATCACACAAGCTGTTATTTTTTGTAATACACGTCGAAAAGTTGATTGGTTAACGGAAAAAATGCGTTCACGAGATTTTACTGTATCAGCAATGGTAAGTTTAAAAAAAAAAGGAAAAAGACAAACACCGTTGTTTATTTGTTTCTAACTATGGCCAATATTACCAAACATATATTTGTCTCTTTTTCATAAAATATAATGTACTGGACTTGGCCAAATATTGAATAAATCAATCGTAAAGTCATTCTTTTACATAAAAAATAATTAGAGTGAACAAATATTGATAAACAAAATAAATTTTTTTTGTTTCGTTTATTTTAGCACGGTGATATGGATCAAAAAGAACGTGATGTTATTATGAAAGAATTTCGAACAGGTTCTAGTCGTGTATTGATTACAACTGATTTACTTGCACGTGGTATTGATGTACAACAAGTTAGTCTTGTTATTAATTATGATTTACCAAATAATCGTGAAAATTATATTCATCGGTAAGATTAAAATTATTATTCAATACATATTATTTTGTTTTTCTTTTTTTTTTAAGTATTGGTCGTGGTGGTCGATTCGGTCGAAAAGGTGTGGCAATCAATTTTGTTACAGATGATGATCGACGAACATTACGTGATATTGAACAATTCTATAATACACAAATACAAGAAATGCCAATGAACGTTGCCGATCTAATTTAAAAAAAAGATAGACATCTGTTCTTGTCCTTTCATCAAAATCATCAGCATCAAACAAAAAATCTTTTACCATCTTCTATTTATTCTGATGATAACAATAAACTTATAATTAACATCATATTTTTTTTCTTTTGTTTGCCTTTTCTTTTTGATTGAAACCTATAATGGGTACATACACATACACACACACATATATATATATATCAATATATATTTATCTGAAAAACCGTGAGACATAATTACTTCAGTCAACAATGTTTCTTTTCGTTTTCTTTTTTTTTTGCTGTCTTGTTATTTTCGTCTTTCTATGTTTGTTGTTACGTTATGTTTGTCAAACGGAAAAAAAAAAGTTTATTTCATATCGTAGATACTATTAAGAAGACTAAGACAATTGACAAAAAAAAAATCGAATATATGTATGTGTGTATGGTTGGAACATTGTTCATTTTGTTATCCATTTATTCTTGACTTTTTCGCTTTCTTACATACACAACGTTATCATTCGGCCCTGTCTACATACATACATATAAAACGATTCCTTTCTTTTCTTCTTCTTTTTTTTTTTTGTCTTATTTCTTTCGTTTAGGAAATAATTTGATTTTTCCTCGTTCTATTTCTTTATTCAGCTAAACAAAAAAAACAAATATATCATAAGACAATAGAAAACAAATATGTAGATATCTATTTTTATTTGATTTACCGTAGTAAACAAAAGTCTACATTCCACTGTATTTCAGCTAGCATACGTATTGAAGGTCTAAAAGATTGTGTGTGTGCATCCACCACCAAGATATGTAGTTTAGATACATAGCCGCATCGCGATTGTTTACTTTGTAAAAGAGAATTATGATGACTATTACTAGACGACACTTATAGTTCTTTTAAAGTTCATCACTCGGAAAAGCTAGGG